AGTTGAGGATGCATACTGTTCATCTTCTCTAACTAGTCTCATCTACTGCAAAAATTAGACTTGGATATTGGCCATGATTAAACCTTAATGCCCATTCCAATAACACAAAATTTGGATCTCATAATATAAATATCATGAAACCCATCAAGTAAAGAATTGGAAAAACAAAAAAATCCACAATAAATTCTGCTTCATTCTCTTATTTTCATCGCTCTTCATGGCATTTCAATACTTTACAGTTTATTTCGGTTCTCCATTTCTTTAAACTCAGATATGTAGCTTTGCATTTGGATTGGGTCCCGTGGGCAACAGAGAAGGATGAAATGGGTTCCGATCTGGTGTTCTTTGAGAGAAGATCTTTAAAAACAGAGTCCACCTTGCCAGAGAATCGAAGGGAAAAAGCTGTTGGGATGGAGCACAGTGACGGTAGACGAACCTACAAACAAAAATTCAGTTAAAAAAATTCAATGTGATAAAATACTCTACATATCATTTGGTGTTTAAAAATTTGCTTCTTTTCTGTGCATCAAATTGATTTAAAAGCTGTAGTTCTCATCCTCATTTCCCCCAATAAACAAGTAATTAACCATGGCAAAACCAGCATCAAGATCCACCAGAAAATTACCAGATCCAATACAAAAATATAATGCCAATTAAAATCACAGAAAGAACAGATCTTCTCCGGAAATGCAACCCAAAACACCCCTTGAAACCAACAGATATGAGCCATTTTTGTCTTCTTAACAAAGATCTAGATCGAATTGAGCAATAAATGCAGCTAAATCAAACGCAAATTAGCCATCAGAAAACAATAATTTCTTCCATATGCAAACTTATCAAACAAAACTAAACAATTCAGAGACCAAAAACAACGTCCGGGATCAATCAAGAAGCCATGCTCGATGATAAAGATGATAGAAGCTGGAAAATGAAATAAAACCCTAAATATCCTCAAAATATGGTAATTTCACAGAAGATTTAGAGTTTGACAAAGAACCCATGCTCGATGAATTGCAAGTCTTGCTGAAAAAGGTTTAATTTTTAAAAGACGAAGAGGGGAAGAAGAAGATGATAGAAGCTGCCAAACAAAATAAAAGCCTAGATATCCTCAAAATATGGTAATTTGACAGAAGATTCAAAGCTTGACGAAGAACCCCATGCTCGATGAATTGCAGATCTTGCTAAACAAAGACGAAGAAAGGAAGAAGACAAAGACAATAGAAGCTGATCCCTAAATCCCCAAATTTATTCCCTAAACAACTTAAGGGTATAAAAGTAATTTGCATAATCAGCTGATTTTGAGGTATTTGTCCAGCTGTGCCTCCACCTCAGCATCCATCTTAGCAAAAAAAAGGCCACATCAAATAGAGAGGAAGGGCTGATGAGCGGACTGTTAAATGTTAACGGAAGGATTAAGAGAGGGGCTGATTTGCCATTGCAGGTGAGTTGAGGGGTTGATTTGCCACCAGTTGGGGTTGAGGGGGTGATTTGCCACCAGTTGGTGAGTTTAGGGGGTGATCTGCACCTTTTGCCAAAAATATATCCAAGTCACCATCACGATGAAAATAAACAAATAAAATATATCCATGCTACTCTCGTGGCACCCATCACATGCTGCTTTCCACTCCTAGCACACTGCACACATGTTACATGACAGCGTGTCACGAGATCTACAAATTAGTCATGCAGCAATGATATTATCACTATTTATCCACTGGATTTAAAAAAAAAAAAAAAAAAAAGTTAAAGAATTTTTTAACATGTGCCATTATTAAATATGGTATATAAAATTAATTCGTATAAATTTTTATATCCACTTTAATTATAAAAATATAGAGGTAAATATAATATTTGCTATCAAAATGTGTAAAAAAATATATAAATTTGATATAAAAATTT